AAAAAAAGACATGCAAAATTACATTAAATAAGAGAAACGTGTGTAGTGGCCAAAGGCGGCTCGGCTAATGATTTCCATTCGGTCTTCTCATAAGAATCTTACATTTAAACAGCAGAATTGTCAACATTAACAACCGAACTAACTTTGTCGCGTATTTTCGATTTCTCCCGCCCAGTTTGTACCATCACCTATTTCCTCGACAAGGTGAAGTTAACAAGGAATCGTGAGAGTGTGAATGGGGTTTACCTGATCGCTGAGAATTGGTGAAATTAAAAATGCCAACTCAGAAACGACGCTGAGATCTGAGATCTTCAATATTTACCGATGACTAAGAAACGGGCTAAAATTTTAACTGAAAGCTCTCCACACTAGGCCGGAGAGATTTGAAAACGGCGTTTTTACTCTACAAATGCTTCAAATCTTTTCCGTCCGCGCCACGCTGGAGAAATTTGAAGACGCAACAATCACCGGTCATTTTGGATTTGTGTTTGAGGAAAGCTCGTGCAGGGAAATAACATGGTTATCGCGACGCCATCGTTTTCCAAAAGCTCCGTTTTCAAAATGGTTTCCGTCCACATTAAAACGCAAAGCTGGCGTTTTCAAATTCCTTGGGTTTGAAGAGCGTTTTGGAAAAGCTCCGTTTTCGTGACGGATTAATGTAGATGGTATGCCTAACCGAAGAAACAAAGCCGGCTGCGTCAAATTTCTCCGGCCTAGAGTGAACGAAGCTTGAGATTCCAGGCTCTCTATCTAGACCATCTTGGGCATGAGCCTGTGCGCTAATGTGGACCAATGAGCATTCGCCCGGCTTAACTTGTTCTTTACCACCATCTCTGCCCTAATGTTAAAAGGACGCATATTTTTCATTTAAACTTTACAAACGGAACATTTTGAAAGAACTAGTATCAAACAATGGACATAAACAATGATCTTAACTATCAGCCAGTTCTTACAAACATTCAACGCGTTCTGTAAATCACTCTAAACACATTCAGCAATCAATTTATTAGTGTCGTGCGTGGAAAGGGGTTGCCCTCTGTATCTGTATCTGAGTCAGGGGTTCGTGTATAAAATGTATGACGAAAAGAACGATAAAATAAGGGGAAAAAATTAGTTAAATATCAGTCAAATAGATAAAATTATAAATAAAAGTGTAATAGTAAAATACGAGATATTATAAAGTTATAGATATATATACACCAAGCCTAAAACTGTGACATCTCTCAATAATGCTAATAAAACAATAATAATTGAAATTAAAAACTGGAAGGTTTGTTCAGGCTAGCGAAGTTTCGTGTCTTATCAACAAGACACTGAATGTCGTTTATCTTCCAGACGCTGTTCACCTCGGTAAACTCTAACTTTTAATGTGTTACTTTTAATTTATTGCCCCTACACAACCTTCTTTAATCTGAAACTTCGGAAGGTTAACAGCGCAAACTTTGTGTTTATCTGGTTTAACCTAACTGCCAGATACCGATGACCTCGCAGTTACCTTTTTACAGATCACTTTGGGAACCAGAAAACAAGTGGTTTTTTTTTTTTTTTTTTTTTTTTTTTT